AAAAAAAAAAAAAAAAGACCACCTCTTTTCATGCATTGAAGGTTACACACCTGGTGATACAACAAATGCAGTGTGGTCATGCCACCATGGCCTTTGTGTACAGGGGTTGTGCTTTCAGCCTTAAGTTTCAGGGTTTCAACTTGAAAGACTTCAGGTTGGCAAGACAACAAATTGAATGTGAAGGGATTAAAAAGGTTTGTTTTCTTTGGGGGGGGGCAAGTACGTTGGAGTCATGCCCAACGTTAAGACCAGAAATTATGGTGCAAAAAAAGGGACCCTAAATCTGCAAAGCGCCACTGCGGGAAATGACGGGCGGAGTTTTAGACCCCAGCTAAACTTGCACATTTGCAAACGGACACCATGGCAGTGCCGCCACTTTGTCACTTCTTGCCTATTTCAAACTACAAGCGTGTCACAGCCACAGTCCACCCTTTATTTTTTTGTTTTTTGAACAGAACCTCAGGGTTCTGGCTCCTCTTCCATTGTGGGAAGCATCAGTGTGGTTCCTAATCCACTGGCAAGTCAGAAAGGATAACAAAGCACTGACACACACTCCTCCGCCTTGTGGTGTGAAGGCCCAAGTACGGCATTCATTACTTCCCTAAGGAGGGATGTAACACCATTCACCCCTGCCTAAGGTTTTTGTTATTCTTGAATCCAAATGCATAGTATTACCCATGTGCAGTGGCTTTGGGCTCTCGGTGCCGTCGCAGGGGATGCCGATACGAGAGGTCTGGAGTTGCTGTAACGAAAGATTGGGTTATATACATTGAACAGAGGAGATTGAGATTGGGTTAGGGTTACATTAAGTGAGTTCAGACCACATGGGTTAAGGTCGCATCTGTTGCACACCTTATGGAGTAGCTCAAATGACGGCTGCCGACCGACCAGTCTGGAAATCTCGTTAATACTCGGCTGAAAAGTAAACTGAGAGTAATAGTCGTTCTGAAGAGTTCATCGGAGAAAAAGTCGCCGGGGTGCCAGGGACGAGAAACACACCAGTACAGATACAAAGCAGAGCTAGGGTCAGATACAAAGTGTCTGCTTTCCTGTCTCCATGCCCATCATAGCTTGTTCTCCTTCTTCTTCTTCTTCTTATGCTTCTTCTTCGACGTCTTAATGCCCATGTAGTAAAATTTGACATATTCGTTGAAATTGCACGGAATAATTGTCGAAATTGAAATCTTCTTTTTAGGGGTAATTGTATGGAGACGGAATACCATCTGCTCTCTCTCTCTCTCTCTCTCTCTCTCTCTCTCTCTCTCTCTCTCTCTCTCTCTCTCTCTCTCTCTC